TTTTTCTCTTTTTCTCCCTTCCCCCCTTCCCCTTTCCTCCTTTTTTTTTTTTTTTTTTTTTTTTTTCTTTGGTTTTTGTTGTTCTTCATCTTCTTCTCGCTTACTAATGACATTTTCGTCGGAGCAGCGAGGAAACAACGCGATCATCGTCGGGATAACGGCCTCGGCTTCGCCTCCGGATCGAGCACGTATCTCGACGACGACGACGACGACAACGACAACGACAACGAGAACAACGTGAACGAGTGGTCGGCTTCCAGGTAAGCGACGGCACAGTGGACTGGGAGAGAGTATTCACGTGACATTTTATTTAAAAAAAAAATAAATCAACCTCGTTGTCGTACAAGGTGTCCGGAAAGGTTGGGACCAAGCTTGGACCACGTGTGTCACCGAGGTCGAGCAGAGATGGAAAAATGTCCTGGGGATGCTTTGTCGAGAAGACGCGAGCTTTCAAAGATATTTATCATTTGTCGCGACAGTTGTGTAAGAAATGTTTGAAAATTCCTCCATCGGCATGAACGCAGGCTGCCGTTCGTCGTGTCGGCGATTGTCGAACTCTTTCGAAATATTCCGTTCGTATTTTGGACACGATGGTAAATGCACTTTGAACGCATTGCCAATGTATCGGGTGACCTGGGTGGCCAACCGACTGGCCCGCCCGCCGCCACCGATCCAACGTCGATGGGAATCGTCTGTCAAGAAATTCACGTACGTTCCGTTAAAAAAAAAATTCCGGCGGCGGGACACCGTCATGTTGGAACCACACTTTGACAGAGTGTTTCCAACGAGACCGTCGCGCAACGTATCGTGAACGATTGTTTCGCAATAATCTCACTGAGAATTTGTGAACACGCGTACGATTCTGCGCAAACGAATTGCGAAAGAGACGAATTCTGTCCGTAAATCTTTGAACGCTTACATCTTTTCAACAAAGCATCTCCGGACATGAGTTTATCCGAACTTTTTTCATCTTTGTTTGACCTCGGTGAAACACGTAGTCTAAGTGAAATCTTTCTCTATGTAACAACGTAAGAGTCATATCCATTCGCGTTCGAATTCTCAACATATTATTGTTTAAAATGCGTCGCGTTCGCGTTTATAACGTTCTATTGATCAACGCAACTTCGCGAGGGTACATAGGTCTCAAGAGACTGCATTCAGTTAAAACGATTCCGTGTCATTCTTGGAGTAATGTCACCGCGCACACGGCACAAGTCCGGAAAAGTTTCAAAATTATAACTTGGAGAGTACTGCATAGGAAGTACTTTCATAGTGGATATGAAAGGTCCACAAATTACTTATTCATCGAGCAGTTATAACAGAGAAATGCGTCGCTTTCTATTGGACAATTATGCAAAGAGGAAACTAGACACGAAGACGAATATTTTGTAAAAAATATAGATTGAAAAATATCGGGGATTGCCACAAACCAAGACACACTTCGCAGACTATTTTTAACATCTACAGAATGAAGTCAAGGAATGAAAGAGGAAAAAACACAAAGAATTAGATACAGAGATGGAACTGATATTTACATAAGTGAAAGAAGAGTAAGTTTTAACATCTCACTCTCTTGTGCTGAAGAGAATAAAGTGAAATTGAAAGTTTTACGAATATATGATTTAAATTGTGTGAAAAAATATATGAAATGTATTAAATAAATTAAAAAATAAATTAAAATATATAATTTATAAATGTAGTAAATAAATTAAATAAAATGAATGATATTAAAATATTAAATATATAAAATTAAGTATATAAAAAATATTTGATATAATAAATATATATATATATATATTAAATATAAAAAAAATATTATATTAAAAGATATAATATAAATAAACGTACATATAAAATATCATGTATAAAAAATATTTAATATAATAAATATATATATATATATACAAAATATTAAAATATCATTTATAAAAAACATTTAATACAACAAATATTAAATATATCAAATACAAACAGTATGATTAAAAAATTTGCTTAAAATATTTCTTTACAAAATTAACAAAACAGTGAAGTGAATGTCGCGTTGCATATTACTGGCGAGGAATATTTCTCACGAATGTTTGAATATCAAATTTCATCGTGACATGTTTTACGAATTAATAGTTACTCAAAAATGTCGCGTGAATTCTCAATCTGGCCCTTCTATCCGCCCTCCTTTCTCATCGTTCCTCCGCCGCCACGTGTTTTGTGTTCGCAGCAAGCCGATCGCGCTCCTCCCCACCGACCGAGAACTCCTCGAACGATTCGTCAAGCGAAACATCGACGAGATCGACCGGACAGCATTCGACAATTTCTTCAAGCGAAACCTCGACGAGGTAGGTCGCGTCGGCTGGAACGGATTCGTCAAGAGACTGGCCGACTACCTGACCACCAACGGCGGCAGAGGCAACGTCCTGGCACGCCGCGGCTAACAACGCTACTCTCGCTACTTTCTGTTCCCCCGAATCATCTTTCATCACCGCCCTCTCTCTCCCCTTTCTCGTCAATTTCTTTTCGCGTCGCAACACCGAGAGCGGAAGAAGAACACACAGTGAGAGAATTTATTTGCTCGATCTCGATTCACCGAGAAGACGAACCTCCGGCATTGTGGCGACTCGAACTTTCCGCGCCATTTCCCGAGCTCCGCACGTTGAGAATTTCGACAGAGGGTTCCGTGTCGTCGGCTCCTCCTCCTTCACTTCTTCGTCCCGTTGCTGCTCGTTCCTTTCTCGCGCCGCGTTTCGCCTCTCTCGCAAACCGTCGACGCTTCTTCTTTCGGCAGCGGCGACCACCTTCTCGATCTCCGTGCTCACGTCGATCGGTGTCTCGACATTGGCGTTCTCTCGATTACCATCCATACGTACCAGCTGCTTCCATTGATCGAACGGACGGACGGATGGATCATCAGTCGCGAGTCTCTCCTCCGATCTAGCGAAATCATACCTCGATCACGGTCTCCTCGAGGCCAGCGAACCGTCGCAGCACTCCAGCCAGTTTCGCGCTCTGCGTCGTCAGTCGACCAGTGACTCGTAGCTCCTTTCCAACGTCCTGCTCGATCTGATGGGTTTTGTTTACGCGAATCGTCTCTCGTGTCTCGAAATTTCATCGTATCGGAGAGGAGGATACGCACCTCGTCCATTCCTCTGGTCACTCGTTCGCCGATGTAGCGCAGATTGTCGCGTGCCCGGTCCACCTGTCGACACGATACCGAACGATCTAGCGAAGAATCTTTGCCAGTGTGCATCGAGTTTCACTTACCATCGTCGCGAAGTCTCTCATCTCCCTCGCCAGTTTCCGTCGCAGTCTCGTCGCCGCTAGAAACTAACAGCGATCGCCTCCGTTACGAACACGCCCCTCCTTTCAACACGAAGTCGTTTGCCTCTACTTTTTGCCATAGCTTACGCGCTGAAAAACGTAGAGCAGTATCGCCACGTTGGCCAACAGTGGGATCGCGCTGCCCAACACCTGCTGCACCAGCCGCATCACGTCCACTTCCAACGAGAACTCTTCTCGCTCGATCGCTTTCACGCACTCGTTGATTCTCGTTTAGCCAGCCTATGCTAAATATCGTCCAACCGCGCCAATTCAATCTCGACCCTCAACCTTCTCGTTATCGCCGATTCTCGAAAATTTTCCTTCACCGTAACATCTCGTTCTTGTTACACGCGATGCTTTCCTTTCGCCGAACTTTCCCCTTCTTCGCTGTCCGATCGAACAAAACACGACTCGACGCCAACTTTCCCCGGTCCCTTCATTCACCTGTTTCGCGATACTTACTTGCGACATTCGACGCAATTCAGCTATATGCACGAGTCGGTTTTCTCCGAAACTCAAACGACCTGCGATCCGTATCTGCACACGTTCCCGTCACAACCACGATGCATAGTTTCTTCGTGCACTTCGTTTCTTGTGTTTGTTTTAAAACCTCTTGCGCTGAAATGACGCGCCACGCACCGTCGAGAATTCTTTTTGTTCCAACATTGTAAGATTTTATATATCAGTTTTAAGTATATTTAAGTAAAACAAAATAGGCGAAACGAATAACAGATTTATTACCTCTCAATAATTTCTATCTACAGTGATGTCATAACGACGAGTTTAAAGACAAAACGACGATTTATTGTATACGATTTGGTCACTCGTTACGGTCGGCAATCAGTTGCCAGCACAAGTGGCTAACCTCTTACCGACGAGTTCAAAAAGCGACGATTTATTGTATACGGTTCGGTCACTCGTTATGGTCCGCAATTAGTTGCCAACGCAAGTGGTTAACCTCTTACGTCGAGAATTCTTTCTCACAAAATTGCAATATTTTCTCAGTTTTAAGTATATATTTAAGTAAAACAGAATAGGCAAAACAAATAACAGATTTATTACTTCTTAATAATTTCTATCTACAGTGATATCATACCGACGAGTTCAAAAACAAAACGACGATTTATTGTATACGATTTGGTTATGGCTCGTTATGGTCGGCAATCAGTTGCCAGCACAAGTGGTTAACCTCCTACTGACGAGTTCAAAAAGCGACAATTTATTGTATGTGGTTCGGTCACTCGTTATGGTCCGCAATCAGTTGCCAGTGCAAGTGGTTAACCTCTTGCGTGGAGAATTTTTTGCCCCAAAATTGCAATATTTTCTCAGTTTTAAGTATATTTAAATAGAATCCAGGCAAAACATGTAATAAATTTATTACTTCTCAATAATTTCTATGTACAGTGATATCATACCGACGAGTTCAAAAGGAAAGCGACGATTTATTATTTATACGGTTCGGTCAATCAGTTGCCAGCGCAAGTGGTTAATCGCCTCGCCACTTTCCATCCAAGCTCGCGCAATTCTCCCCTGCTTCTGATAATGTCAATGTGGGGTGTATACTTTGTCGAAAAAATAAGCCGATGAAATAAACAAATCGATTGCAACACGAGTGACCCTGGCGTCGATTTATCTATTACGGTAGCCCGTAATAGTTTGACCACGTAAAACTTCACGAACCTCGAATTTCGTCCCTTTCCCCCTTAGAAAAATCCCTGAAACTAGAACAACTAAAAAAACGAAGGAAAAATTTCTTTCCTTTTTCCTTTCTTTCTCCCTTGCTTTGTAACGATACGATCGCTGCTGTTATCGATTTCCTGCTATCTGTACGAATCGCGTTAAAAATTATGAAATTCATCGACTCGCATTTGGAATTTGCAACGTCATCGTTTCATTTCTGTCGGTTTCAAAGTGTAACGACGCTTTTTGACTCTTTTCACTCGAACGACTCGAAAGAGTAAAATTGCTGGTAAAATGCGCGCAAGTGTTTGTACACGAGTACCTGTCACGCGTTTCGCAACGTGCTCGTGCAACGATATTTATAAAAATACAGCGACGACGCTGGCCGCATCCTTCGACGCGGCACGTAATTGTTTAGGTGTTTGCGTGTGTCGTTGAAATTACATCGATCCGCGATATCGGGTAAGCCGATCATTTTCCATCGATAAGCGTAACGTTGCGAGCAATAATACGCCGTAATTCGGTAGCCGCTCGTTCCAACTCGTTCGTTATCGCGAGATTCAATTAATTCTATCCAATTTCGGTTGGATTCGGTTTATCGTGACTCGCTTTATCGACTCGACGCGATAGGATCCGACTGATTGTTGTCGTCGTGGTATGACAACTGGATTAATTTGATAGGTTAGGTAGTACACGTACGCGTTTTGCATTCCGTTTGGAGATCGTATTCACCAATTTGCAAATTGAATTCATCCTTTTGCAGGTCAAGTTTTTCTACAAATTTGTTTTTCTTCAGATCATTATAATAAGAATAAAAAAATTCAGTAAAAAGTTATTACCTCAAATATTATTGCACGTATGCGTAAAATGGCATTAAATAAATTATGAATCACATCAAAATCTCTTTGACAAATTGATCGTCGAAATTCTGAGAGAACAATCAATGAGCGCAAAGCGCATGCATTAAATTTTTCTCGAAAATGCCTCGGAAGCAAGATAACGAATAATATTCTTTCATGAATCGGATGATTTAATTATTCGGCGAACAAAGGCGCGATTAAAAGTTATCGTACCAGTTTATGTGACCTAGGGGACGAAATGTTTTTCTTAATTGCTTCAAATGTTCAGGGAATATCACGTTCGCTTGCTTTAAATATTGTTTGGTAATTTCTTCATTGAATTGAGATTGCACATGTAGAAACTGAATGAGAATAATCTGGAGAAAGTGTGTTGGTTTTGGAAAATGTGCCAAAGTTTTTTAGAAAAATTTAGAAATTTAGAAATTTTACAAAACTTTGCATTAGTCAGGCAATGCACAATTATTCCTACGCCATCCAAACTTGCAATGATAAATTCCATTGAAGTAGTTCTGTCAAAAATTAAATTCTACGCAAGAAATATTCTGATTGATCCCTCAAACCATAAACATCTAGTGGATGTTATTAATCATCTTCTTGTAACTATCGCTTTTACAGATTGTCATAATCATTATATAAATATATGCATATAAAATTACTCCGTGCAGCATCAAGTAATCCATTATAAATAAATCTACATATGTGTACACAAATATTTTTAGGGCTAAATAAGTATTTTCTATTAATTATATGTCACTTTATATTCATAATTTTTACTCAAATATTTTTATATACGTGCAACAAAGTTTTTATTTTGGAATAATTTTACATCTATTTTATTTCTATTCCTCAAGGAAACAAGTAGGACGAAACTTGAATTAAAAACTGAATGACAAATTGTACCTTAACCTCTTGCGCTGGAATGACGTGCCACGCACGTCGAGAATAATTTGTTTCAAAATTGTTATATTTTCTTAGTTTTAAGTATATTTAAACATAACCCAGATAAAACAACTAATAAATTTATTACTTCTTAATAATTTCTATCTATCTACAATGATATCATACCGACGAGTTCAAAAAGAAAGCGACGATTTATTGTGTACGGTTTGGTCACTCGTTATGGTCCGTGTGAACCAGTTACTAGCGCAAGAGGTTAAGATTCCCTTGTATGAAATTTGAAAACGAAATGGAGAAGAAGAACTCGAGCGGAAGAAACGACGTTACTCGTATATATTTGCACATCTATGGGTTCTACTAGATATATATTGGACGCGTACATGTGCATTCGGTTTGAAAGCGGCGCGTAGCTGGCTGCTTGGTAAGAGGAGCGACCTCGGTGGCCAAGCGTCACGTTGAAAGTCTGCGAACGATTGATGGCGCCACTTGCAGCGGTGTGCCCGCGCACGATCGTTTCGAGTGCAGCGCTAACCACTCTGTGATCATTCCGCCCGCAGAATCGCCAAAAATATGCAAAAATATGAGAAGCTCGAGAAAATAGGAGAAGGTAAGCGTCCACTCTATCCCGAGTAACTGTTTCAGTGGTATGTGTCCGTGTGCCGTGTAGCTTTTCCGTTGGAACGTTGGTGTTGGTCTTGTCGGCTGTTTGTCGGTTGAGTCGTGTGCGTGTGTGCGAGTCCTGTCGTTTGACAACCGACAAACATCGTCGCGAAACGTCGCGTCGTTTACGATCGCCACCGGCGAACGATATACATGTATTGATCTGTTGCGTACTTCAGGTACTTATGGAACCGTTTTCAAAGCCAAGAATCGCGAGACTCACGAAATCGTTGCTTTAAAGAGAGTCCGATTGGACGAAGACGACGAAGTAAGTTTATGGCGACAGCAAGTAAGCCGACGTGATCCTGAACTTCAATCAGATCTTAACCACGGATCCGAGATCCCGTCGCATACCTCACCACTGTTCTCTTCTGTTTGTTGTTGACACGCAGGGTGTACCGTCGTCCGCGCTCAGAGAGATTTGTCTGTTGAAAGAGTTGAAACACAAGAATGTCGTGAGGTTGTACGACGTGTTGCACAGCGATAAAAAGTTGACACTTGTGTTCGAGCACTGCGACCAAGATCTGAAAAAGTATTTCGACAGCCTGAACGGGGAGATTGATCTGGACGTGGTGAAGTCCTTTCTGTGAGTATTCATTTGGTATTTACTCGCGGCGGTCGCTTCCCGCGCCGTTACAAATTTTCCTGTTTGAACGTTCTCTCTCTCTCTCTCTCTCTCTTTCTTTTCTCTCGTGTGTGTCTCTCTTTCTCTTTATCCTCCTCAGGTATCAATTGCTGCGTGGATTGGCGTTTTGTCACAGTAGAAACGTGCTGCACAGAGACTTGAAGCCGCAGAACTTGCTCATCAACAAGGTACCGGGTGATTCCCTCGTTTCCGGTGTTAATCTTCCGAGAGAAAAAGCAAAAGTGGTTACAACGTATCTTTTACGTTACTAATTTACGTTATAATTAGTTTTTAAATTACTATATATATATATAGTAATTATTATTATTTTTTAATCTGTAATATAATTAAATTATAACGTTACTTTTTTCATTAATTAACTTTAAAGTCATTAAATTACATATATAATCTATTAACATTATATACAATGTAATTGAATTCATAGCTTATCCCATAAAATTAAGTTAAGCTTGCCAGTTTGAACTGTCTTTTGCACGGCGTTTAGAACGGCGAGTTGAAGCTGGCCGATTTCGGACTGGCCAGAGCATTCGGAATCCCGGTGAAATGCTACTCCGCGGAAGTCGTAACGTTATGGTACCGTCCACCGGACGTTCTCTTTGGGGCAAAGTTGTACACAACGTCCATCGACATGTGGAGCGCAGGTTGTATATTTGCTGGTAAGTTGCCTTGACAAACCAGACACAGAGAATGGGGACACGAGTTGTGGATGATACCGATGATGTACAACCGCATAGAGCTAGCAAACGCCGGTAGACCTTTGTTCCCCGGTTCGGACGTGGACGATCAACTCAAGAGAATATTCAAAATGTTGGGTACGCCGACCGAGGAGACGTGGCCGGATTTTACTACTCTCCCCGACTACAAACCATTTCCGCTTTATCATCCTGCTCAGGGATTGGCTCAAGTTACGCCGAAACTTAATTCTAGAGGCAGAGACTTGCTACAGGTACGTATGTTATACCCAAGTGCAGTAGTGCCTGCTGACGTAGGCTCAAATAGGAAGAATTGGAGATAAGCGGGCACTACTGTATTTCCTCGTTTCTGTTCGACGAGGATACGTTTCTTCAATCTCTCTGCTTGACAAACCTCGTCATCTTGTCGAAACTTGTTTTCAGAGGTTACTGGTGTGCAATCCAGCGTTACGGTTGTCGGCGGACGAAGCAATGGCGCATCCCTACTTCAACGATTTGAACCCTGCCATTAAAAACGATCGTTGTCAATAGTGGACGTTGCTCGAGCCGATTCCATCTACAGCGTACCATCGCTGATAGTGTAACGACCAAAATCAAGCCGGCAATGATCGTTTGTTAATACATTTATATATATATATATATATATAAATTTATATATGTATATATACTTTTATATATATATATATATATAAAATGTAACTAGTATCGTAAGTATATATTTCGCACTCTCGATGCGTCGATTATGACGCGAGACGAAGCGAGAGACGGGTCCTGTGTTATAAAATAAGAATGTCCAAGGGAAAATCAATAAATTGTCAATTTTATTAGCGACGACGACGACTTTCTATTTGAAAGAAAAGCAGAGTGCGCGATATATTTCAGAAACTTGTTGTACAAAATATCGCCAATCTCCTTAAACTACACACACGTGACACGCAACACAACAGACACTTGTATACACTTACTTACACACTCGCCCGCGCGTATTACCTATCGGTATCTCGACTTGTATTACGCATCGAGTCCAACCGTTCGTTCACTTGCTCACTCATTTTGTAGATGTTTGTATATCTATTGATTTACAGATTTAGTTAATTTATCTCTATTTATTTGCCGATATTACGAAACAACTTGTAGATCTATTAAATACATTTCTTAAAGATATTCGACGGATCGTTAATGGAATCACCCTCACATCGCGTCGAAGGGGAATCGATGCGCTTCCTGAAGCTTCTCGAGCTTGTCCTCCCTTCGCTCTTTCCAGTAGAGCGCGACGATGATCAAGGATATGAGACCGCAGGTGGCGGTTAACGCAGCGGCGCTCAGTAATATCAATTTGCTCGGCGTTACGAACAGCTGGGCTTTCCACTTCGAGGGTTCCATTATCGGATTCGGTATCATTACCATCTGCGAGTTGGGGATGATCTGTGGCCATTCTCGACATTTTCCCGCAACCTGTCGTGGACAAACAAACAAACGAATGAATGACGAGAAACGCAAATTCAAGAGAAAATGGAAAGCAAAAGAGGCTTACCCCGATAGTGAGAGCGTCGACAAAGTTGGGCGTTCTGCCCAGACCAAAGGTCGTGTAAGGCAAATTCAGAGAGAAATGGGCACTCTGCGGAAGCTGGGCGGCGATCGCGTTTCGCGGGCTGCCGTCTTGAGTTGTGGTCCGATAGGCTATCGACGGACCAGGAAGATTCGTACCGTAAGTTCGCTTCTTCTTGCCGAGCGAGCCCGGTGAGATCGGATACATGCTGTTGTTCCGTCCGGTGAGCACCATCACCTTCACAAAGTTTGCGTCGTAGTCCAAACTGTTCTTGAAGGCAGCTGTACGATAGCTGTTCCTGCTTTTGTCCACCTCCACCAAGATAACGTCCAAGATCCCGTCTTGGTAAAAATCGTAGAACACGGCCATCGCGGTTTCGTTGCGGAACGGGTTCAGCGCCTGCCATTTCACTTGGAATTTCCGAGTGAAATTCTCGCACGAGTCGCACGCCACGTTCTCCAGCAGATAGGACCGCGTCTGTTTGCCAGTGGTCGGCTTCAGCGTGGCCAGTAGATCTGGATAACCGTCCATGTTGAAGTCACCGCCGCGAAGAGTGATCGTGTCGGTGTATCGTTGCCCGTTGCCCTTTACGAAACCCCACAGCACGTTGTCGCTGTCTCTCAAGTTCACCCCGAGATCGTGCCACTTGTCCGAGGAGTACATCATGATGGTGCTGTTGGTGCACGCCGTGTCGAAGCACAGAGGCAACAGCAGATCCATTTTGCCGGTCAGCTCAACGTCCAGGTACAACGTTTGCCCGAGCACGCCGTTGAAGTTCTTGGAGATGGGGAACTTTATCAGTTTGTCATATTGGAATCCTTGCTCCACGCCTAGCCAAATTTCAAAGTGTTTGCCCGTCGTGACCACGAGATCGGCCAAAAAGTCGCTGTTCAGATCGAGATAGGCGTTGGAGTGAGGCTGACTGATGGACGCTAACGGTAGATTCAACGGCGGATCCATAGGGACCTTTTTCGGGGGTTTTCTGCTCTCGTCGAATATCCAAAACACTCTCTCGTTGTATTCGTCCAAACCGAACAGATCTATTATCATGTCACCGTTATAGTCGAGAGCCAGCGGTTGCCCTTTCATGGTTATCACTGGGCGATCTTCGTTCGAACAGTTTAACCAGCCGTTTCCACCCCACAGTATATAACCGTACGACAATTTCTCCTCTTTGTCAAACGTGATGACCAACACGTCCATGAACACGTCACCGTCAAAGTCTCCCGGCACTACGCCTTCCACCAAACGGCGGAACGTGCAACTCAGGTCAGAGCTGGGCCTCAAAAGTGGTTCCTGCTCGGCGGCGAGAAAGATTTGAACGGTGGTGCCGTTCTTGCGCAGCATGAACACGTCGGTCAGCTCGTCGGAATTAAAATCGCCAAAGGCCGCTGGCATACCGTCTAACACGCTACCAAACACCGCTGATGTAATGTCGCTGCATTTCACCATCATCATCGTCATCGCCATCACCTGCGCGATCAACAGCTGGACCCTCATCGTGTCTACCGTTGTTTATCTGCAAACAGACGAACAGTCAATTCATTTTTGTCGTCGCGCCGTTTGACAAAGCGTTCGTATCGCGTCGATGTGTAATCCTTTGACGTGACTCACTCAACGTTCGAGAAACTAACCTACAAGTTCTCTGGCTAAAAGATCGACGCAACCACTAGGATATTCCGTGGAAACAGTTGCACAGTTTATCCACTGCTTGAGAGATTGTTATCAGGTGCAAAAATGGAGGTTCGCGTGTAAATGGAGAGTATGTCGCTTACCTTTTAATAAATGAGACACCAAAGAAAATCCAGTACCATTCACGTTCATTCTGTCTTGACAGTTACTCGATCACTGGAATCGCCATCTCTCGACCAACAGCGCGATTAACATGCCCAACACACAGATGAGCTGTCAAGAAAAATATGCATAGATTGACTTTGGTCAGTGGTGTATGATTTCACAGCCGAGAATATGAGCATAGACATGATGTTTTATAGGATTTTGCGTGACGTAGAAAAACAAATCAATGGTTCTAACAACGGCAAATTGAAGAACTACATCGAGTAAAACGATCGAAGTTGATCGAGCAGTGAATCTGTCAGAAACAGAATTTTTGAAATCCATTACTGTGTTAAACTTTCGATACCGAAATCATTCGACTACGTTATCACACAAAGAGCTTATATATCCATATTTTACGGATTTATGATGGTTTTCTTTTTTATATATAGTAAATTAAAATATTAAAATTATTAACACGTGGTTGGGCATAAATGATTTATATTTTATAAAACATTCTTGAAAATAATTTTGTAAGAATCAATCAACGTGATTGATTCTTACAAAAAACTAAATATCCTTCGTGAAGTTGATTAAAAATTTGCAAGATGAATTAACACGTAGCATAAAATTTAAAAAATATATGCATGATATGCTCTTGCATTACTTTCTAGGTAAATTGTTTCAAGTAAAAATTAATGGCGCATGAAATTACTTTCATGTAATAAAGTAACTTCATCTTCATCTTGAGAAATATGTATTTTATTTGTAAAGAAACTTATTTAGAAACTATGGAATTGGAGACTTATTTTGCAATTATTAAACGAGCTTAAAAAATAGGTTGTTTACATAGTTATTTGAAAATTCCAAACGCATTGATGATCACCCAATCAATAGCGTCAGTAACACGGGAAAAATTAATGCAGTATAGAATTCTTGTAAAATGTAAAATACTCTGTTGTACAATTCATTTGAAATTTCACAGGAAAAATTAGTATCAAAACATTGTACACCTTATACACCTCGTTTATGGCTGTGTCGTTTCTGTCGTACCAAGTCGATAAAGTTGCACGTGACACGAAAATGATAAAGGTGTCGCGGAGGCCTCTAAAACGCGGAACAAAAAGAGCATTAAACGTCAGGTCTATTTTGTTTTTGGTCAATGGTACAATCTTGATTTATGTACAGTCATTATGATAATTCCGTCGATAGTTGCGTTACGCTGAACTGAAAATGCAGTAAGAAAATGAGATACTTGTTGAGCGATATTTATTTACCCGCGTGTACACTTTATGCATTTTACAATTTCGATAGTAATCGAAAATTCAATTCTACGGTACGGTCCCAAGAAATTGCGACGGTGCTCGCCGCGCACCGGTTATAAACATTTCGTATAAAAATATCGATCGTTTTACAATTGTCTTTATCAACAGATATCGAAAATTCATTGGCATATGTATATATATATTTCTTTTTTTTTTTTTTTTCAATCGTGATCGTTGGTAACTCGTGCGTGCACGCGTACTTGGCGTGTAGCTACATAAGTGTGTACGTATTCATTGCATACGTATAATAAATGTAGGACGAATTTGCGTTTTGCGCGTTATGCTCACGCAACACCTCAAACGGGCAATCGATCGTGTTTCGGCGACTCGAATAATTTACAGATTACAGACGAGATTAGCTAGTAAATTATAGTAACTTTGGAGAAGATCATCGAAGATACATTTCCTTTTAGACAGACGATCACAGGAAGACGCAGGTACTTTAAACCGATTCGCAACGATCCCTGTTCTCGCGACCAGAGGTATCGTCGGTGCGCATGGTCGGGAATCGGTCGAACAAGAAGGTAGGCAATAACGAACGGTAGGTAATTGACAATTTGACAGATATCTCGCTTTGAGAAACGACCAGCAGAAAGTTGTGCGTACGCAACGAGCTCGAGCTCGTGCAAAATCGTGGCAGAGAGAGGCCGATCGATAGTTTATACACCCGTAACAACGGCCTGCATGTACGGGAGTAAAAGGGAAGAGAAAGGGCGTTTTTCTTTTTTTTTTTTTTTTTGCTTTGGCGTTTGTGTGACCTACGATAATTTACTACTACTCGCAACTATGTTTCAATGACGACGATGATGACGACGACGACGATGATGACGACGACGACGATGACGATGACAATAATAATTACTACTACTGCTACTGATGATGATGATGACGATGATGATGATAATAATAATAATAATAGTAATAATAATAATGATAATAATAATAATAATAATACCAACAATAAACAACAATAATAGTAGTAGTAGTAATAATAATAATAATAATAACAATTAGAAAAAGAAAATGCATTCCACTACGCAGATATAACTGAATGTTTTTTTTTTCTCCCTTTCAGCATACTTAACTCTATTTTCTCTCTTTCTCTCACTCACTCACTCACTCTCTCTCTCTCTCTCTCTTCTTCCCTTTCTTTCTCCATTTTTTTTTCAACCTTTCTTCTTACTCTCTCATTCTACTTTGTACACATTGCATAAATAAGTAAGAGCAGCAAGTTGTCTAACGTCTACAACTTGATAAAAAAAAAACCTACGCGTAAAAATATTTACAATATTTATATATATATATATATATATATATGTGCGTGTGTGTGTGTGTGTGTGAACCACTTGTATTGTTACAGCAAATCGATTGCGACGGTTTAAAAGTTCCCAGATCTTTTGCGAAATGGTGAGGCGGAGCAACTTCGAGAACGTGCATCTCGCGATCAGTATCGGCCGTAAACGATGGAAAAATGGCAGTTGCCCGCGACAACGCGCAGTAAGTAACGAACGAAGATGGAGACGGAAGAGAAACGCAAGAGTATTCCGTTTCTTTAATACTGTCACTAGTGGTTGTCCGTTTCTTCGGAGAAATGGCAATCGAACGCGTCGCAATTTGCTGATTGCGTTCGCGCGAGGCACTCGTTTTCGTTTCGTTGAGGAACCGCGATCCGCGTCGGTTCGTGCATCCAGAAATCGGACGGAAGTATCGATCGATCGTTCTGTCTGGATCGGTAACCGCCACTAACGCGACGACCCAATGAAAATCAACGCGTCGTTGAAATACATCGATTTGTTCTTTATTTCAGCGCTAAGATGGTCGTAACAAGGCACGTAATCTCTATTAAATGAAAAAGTATACTATAAAAATGTAAAATTATCTGCTTTCTATTTTTCTTTTTTTTTTTTTTCTTGTGCTCGCTCGTTTTCTTACGTGCTATCATTCTCTCCTTCCCTCCCTCTCTATCACTCTATGTCTCTCTCTCTCTCTCTCTCTCTCTCTCTCTCTCTCTCTCTCTCTCTCTCTCTTTCTCTTTCTGTTTCTGTTTCTTTCTTACGCCATGCATTCAAACGCACGTACATACGTATTTAAAAGTACAAATCCAGGCACACGTGTAATACGTTCGTCCTTCACCTCGTGTAGTTGATATAGAAACGTGACGTTCGATTTGACTTACTTGCTGTACAAATATTTGCGTGCGATTTAACTCTTGGCACACGAGCGAAGAATAAACAGCGAATGTATGGTACGGTGCGGCTCCTCGCGCACCGAATGAAGAGGGAGAATTAATCGTCCAAGCAATCCGTCGTGGCTGTTGGCGAATCACAAACGCGGTTTGCTCGACTGTCCTTTTTTCTCTTTTTCTTTTCTTTTCCTTTCTTTTCTTGACGTTGATCTTTTCTTGACGCGCGTTCGTTTCTTTCTGCTTTTGCGTCTGGGCTTCTGTCTGGCTCTGTTCGAGCGCAACGCTCACGTTCGACGATGGATAAATCGAGTTGGACGATGACGTGGAAAGGCAGGGAGAGGGCAATCGAGCGACTGCGAACTGCGTCGCGTTGAACGGCCGAGAGTGGTGTAGGAACGACGAGCGAAGAACGAAAAACGAAGACTAAAATACTAGTACGTGGTAAGAGAGGATAGGCGATAGCAAAGGTGACGGACAACTAGCTAACACGCTGGCTGGCGTCAGTGTTGCGTCTCCGCGATAGTCTTCACGGTTTTCAAGCTGTGTTTCTCGTCCTTCTCCTCGTCCTTGTCCGGATTGTCCCACGTCTGTCGTTGCCCGGAGCTGAACACAGCGTAGAACAAGGCACACGCTATGTACACGCCGGCCGAGATCATGAACACGATTCTCCATTTCGCTTGGGTCGGCTGGAATGGAAAGAAGGCGAGATTTTATTGGAGGTCGCGGGGAGGAGAGGTTGGCGAAGAAACGCGACGATTACCGGCCCGACGATGATATATCCAGCCGTGATGGGTGCCAGCAAGCCGGCCAAATTGGCCAAGCAGTTGGTGAAGGACATCAGAACGCCGGCGAATCTCGGTGAAATGTCCAGGTGATTCACTTTGAATCCGGAGTAGATGCCGCCGTTCAAACCGACGCCGATCGTGAGAATGGCCACGGTCAGCACGGAGTTGCACTCGATGTAGGAGGCGGCGATCAGGGCGATCGCCGGGCCCAACTGGCCGAGAGTGTTCACTATCTTTCGCGTGCAGCCGTGAGTGAACTTGCCGCTGGAGATCATCCAGTCGGCCACGTGCGACACCACCATCGAGAATATCCACATAGCCAGGTAGGGTAGCGAGGAAACGATGCCGTTCTGAAACACGATTCACGCGACGATTATCGAAACGATAGATAGGCGTCAGAGGCTCGCCGCTCGCGTCTTTACCGATTTGATGTCAAAGTGTAATATTTGCTTCATGAAGGTGGGCAGCAGTGTCATCAACGTCTCGTATCCGTAGTTTTGACCCATGTGCGCTATCAGGATAGCCCAGAACGGCAACGACTTGAGGATCGAGAACCACGGAACTGGTGGAGACTGGAAACACACGCGGAGACCGAGCGTCGTTAGCGTGTGAAATTGCTCGAGTTTGCCAGCTGCGAGCCGCGAGGTTTACTCACAGAGACGCCGGCGTTACCCCACAGCGCGCTCAGAATGTACTTCTTCTCGTCCTCGGCAATGCGAGGGTGACTTTCCGGATCCTCATAGACCATCAGCAGGAAAGCGATACACCAGATGGTGCCGACCGCGCCGAATACGTAAAAGATGGACGGCCAGCCACCGGCGAAGCCGTACTCTGACAGGACACCGCTCAGCGGCATCGAAATCACGGTTCCAAACTGCGCACCTACGGATAAAGACACGAGTGAAACGCCAGATCAGACGCAGAAGACATTGGCGAAAGAAGAGAAGAGAAGAGAAGAGAAGAAAGAAAGAAAAAAAGTGGGAAGACAGAAGACAGAAGAAGAAGAAGAAGTAGTAGTAGAAGAAGGTGTGTAGAGATCCCAGAGAATAGCACGGGTACTCGGCGTTGACGGACGCGCGACAGGTCTAGACGCAGGCGGAAGAAAAGATATCGTCGAAACGAACGAGCTTACCGGCGTATACAAAGGCTCCCATTCTGCTGCGCTCGTTGGGCGGTATCCACTTGGCCAGCATCGCGTGCGTGCAAGGCACGATCGGACCCTGCAATAGGGATAATCCATTCCTAGGGGCAGGAAATACACCCGAACGATCAAAAAAAGCGTTCAACGAGAATCAACATTAAAGGCTTTTCTATCGATCGATCGCGCGCGCGAACCCGCGCGTGGGTGAGAACACGGGATCGAGAGGTCGCGCCGTGATCGCTTACCTCGCCCAGGCCTTGAATGAAGCGGACGCCCATCAGGTAGTAGTAGCCGAGGTGAGCCGACACCGGCACCAACAGCCCGAACAACGAGTTGATCAGCATACCGACGCCGAGAAAGTACTTGGACCCGTAACGTTTCGCCAATATCCCGAACGGTATCTGCGTGATGACGTAGCCGTAGAAGAACGAGCCGAGCAGATAGCCCTGCATGGTGCTGTCCCACGCGAATTCCCCGTCGCTGCTGCTCTCGGCGTGTGCCTGCCGTGGGCAAACGAAAAAAAAAAAAGAAAAAAAACCATTCGTTAACTCCTTGCTAACCGCGAGGTTTACTTCTTTACCGACGGTTGTTTACTCGTCTCCCGCTCTGTTTACGCACACCTAGGAAGCATCGATTAAACACACACAAGAGAGAGAAGAAACGCTGTCGGTTACCAGTTACGCGAGCAAATACGGCTCGCTCCTCCACTTACGGTCGTGTTGGTGTTGCCGCACTTGCTCGGCACGACCTCATCGTCCTCCGTGTTCACAATGGCCGTGTGATTGATCATCGCGACGATCGCCACCGACATGTTCGTTCTCATCACGTAGGCGTTCGCCATGCCGAGGAACAGCATCAAAGTTACCACGTGACGCGAGCCCACCAACGCTGCAACAGCAAACGACGTTCGTCCGTTACGCTTCGTTCCTTGTTTAACCAGTTGCGCTGGCAACTGATTGCGGACCATAACGAGTGACCAAACCGTATACAATAAATCGTCGCTTTCTTTTTCAATTCGTATGACATCACTGTAGATGGATAAGAAATGATTAAGAAATAATAAATTTACTACTTGTTTTACCTGTGTTATATTTAAAACTGTACTTAGAACTTAGAAAATAGTGTAACGTCAACGTGCATGGCGCATGTCATTCCAGCGCAAGAGGTTGATCACTTGCGCTGGCAACTAACTGCGGACCATAACGAGTGACTAAACCGCATACAATAATTCGTCGCTTTCTTTCTCTTTTCTAACTCGTCGGTATTATATCACTGGGCAGAAATTATTGAGGAATAATAAATTTATTTGTTTTGCCTGGATTATACTGAAATATACTTAAAACTGAGAAAATATTGCAATTTTGAGGCAAAAAATTCTCGACGTGCGAGACATGTCATTCCAATGCAAGAGGTTAACCACTTAAGCTGGTAACTGATTGCGGACCATAACGAGTGACCAAACCGTATACAATAATTCGTAGGTTTCTTTTTCTTTTGAACTCGTCGGTATTATATCACTGGACAGAAATTATTGAGAAATAATAAATTTGTTATTTGTTTTGCCTGGATTATATACTTAAGTATACTTAAAACTGAGAAAATATTGCAATTTTAGGGCAAAAAAATCTCAACGTGCGTGGCACGTCATTCCAACGCAAGAAGTTAACGCTTTCCCAGCGGTACGTTTGAAACGACGATTTTCAACGTAGAAAATGTTATTTGTCAGAGCTACATATATCGTTTTAGAAGTTTTAGAAATAGTCGTGCTGTTTGTTTTATTATTTTAAGGCTGTAACGACGCATTTCAGACTTTTCGATTTTTACTATTGCTTGGACAACGTTTTGTCTACGGGACAAAATACTCAACCTCCATGAGATATCACGTTACGACAAAAGTACAACGAAAGCCTTTTTTTGCTCTAGAATATTATCCGATTATTCGTGTTATTTAAAACTCATTTTCAATGACATTCTCGTCTCGTTTTAATTATCATAAAATATATTCGTAGAAGTAGAAATAGAACACGGTCAGCAGTCAACGTGTTGAAAGATACGGATATTCTCGTCGAAATCGATACGAATCTCTGTTTAGGCAGAAACGTAATTGTACAAACCTGTTTATTTTAATCATCGTTTAAATTACGATGATTCATCACGTAAGACATTTCGACGCGGCTGTTTTAGCGTTGATACAGATACATTTATTTATTTATATTTAATGCCAAAATGGAGTACATATATATGTACGACGAATAAATGTATATCCGCCGTGAAAGCGTTAACATCGGTAATAATAACGACGACGATGACCAAGACGATAAACGGGTTAACCGATAGATAACGACAACGAACGACGTCGAAAGCGGCGGACCGTGTAAATATACGCGAAGAATCGCGTTGTCATGAATCGCCGCCGGTGGATATTCTCTGAAAATTTATCCTTGATCGTTATCGGCGCCGTAGCAATTTGCAAATTGCGTAAGAAACGAATGAAAAAAGACGGTCGTTTGCCGTTTTCTTTTATCGTGTAGATGAGAAAGAGAAAGAAGGAAACAGGAAGGAAGGAAGGAAGAAAGGAAGGAGGATGAAGGCGAACAGCGTGTCCGTGCAGAACCACGGTCACAGAAGCACGCCAAGGACGCGGCAATCTCGAGCACGTGAGAGGGCAAGGTCGAGGGGAGAGAGAGTCGCGGCGTGTCGGCCGGTCGTTGACGGAAAAGCGCGTCCCGCCGATCGTTTTTCCGGTTTTGGCAAAGCGCGGTTTCGTCGTTTATTTATAACGCGTTATTCCGGCGACGAAACGTCGAGATATGTAATCACACGCGACTTAATAATAGAGACGGTGTAAGGTTTATTTTCGGTGTGCAACAGCGACCAACAAAATGGTCGGTCGAGTGTTACGTGCCGTTGCGTTCGCGAGACTATTTTTTTTTTTTTCCCCGTCCCGGGAAGAAGTTGAACGTAAAACGGCCGTGAAACGAATTCCTCTCTCGTACATAGGCCGCGCGATAACAACAATTCGGTTGGAGCCACGGGCGATCGATGTGCTCACACACGTACGTTAGATTGGTGGTACGAAAGTTTTTCGGTGGACGACGAACGTCTGTGAACTTTGAACGTCTCCCTCCTTCGTCTCCGATACCGACCCGCCTTGCTGCCGCCTTAGCGACCGATCGTGAATCAAGAGTAATTTACCGAGAGCGAGTGTGCCTCGGGTTAAACAGCCGCGCGACATCACCGATCACAGCTACTTACGATCAATCGAGCCGGCTCGATTTCAAAGTTTCGAACCGTCGCGTCTCTGGCTTTTTCGCGCGAATGGTCCCGCCGCCCCTTTCATTCCCCTCGCCAACAGACGCACGCGACTACGTACTCTTACGCAGCGTTCGTCGGACATCCACCGAGCACGTGGTCGGTCGTGGAAATAATTCTGGCTCGCGTCAGCACACACGCGTGCATTGTCTCTATTGCATACTCGGCGCGATGTGAAGTAACAGGGGACAATAAGAGGAGGGAAGAACGGGCGAGAATGGGAAGGGGAGGGGGGAGGGGGGGAAGAGCAACGCACGTGACGCCTCGACGCGACGCGGTCGTTACCTGTGCCGATTCCGCTACTCTGATCGAGCAACGATACCGAGAACCGTCAACGCCCCGAACAGCGTCAAAGTTCGCCCGCTGGTCAGCCGACTCGAAAGTAGAAAGACCGAGTGCGAAGCAACTCGCTGAGAAAAAGGGCGAGAGGGTAGGGGAGGGAACGAACGACCCACGCGCGACAATTTTCTAACGAGAGCGCGGGTCAAACGAACTATGCCCATGCTGTCACTCTCTTGCATTTTCTTCGCCACAGCCGACAGAAAATTGGATCGGATTTGAACGTGCCACGCCGCGTTTATGCCACTCGACACTATACCAATGCGTTGACAATGTTCGCGCGGTGATCGTGTGATCCTGTATAAACACTTGTGTAGACACAGTGGACGATGGAATCGTCGAAATGGCGTGAGCGGTAGTGCACATCGAGGTGCAAATTTTGAAACTTGATGTATTTGAAATGCGCGTGGTTGAAAGAGCAACGGAAAGGAAAGAGGAGAAAGCGACAAAGAGTACGATGGGGAGGGGGGGATAGAGCACGTGGATTCGACGCGCGATTCACGGAATGGAACCGAGTTGAGCAGCCTCGTTCACGCTACGAAAGGGGAGAAAAACTCGACCTCGAAATGATCGAAACGAAAATTTCACGGACAAATAGACGCCGGGGTATTCTAGACGTACATTTACTTTTCTCGTTAGGTCTGTCCTCTTCCTCCAGGCCAGGCTGCTCCCACACAAGCACGTGGCCATTTCTTCCCCTGTTCTCCCCGTGCGGTCTGCCGTTACTGCTGTTCATTGCTCGCTCGACACGCGCTCTCTGCGCGCCAGCCGTCTGTCGTATCACACACACCGAATCGAACCGAACCGAACCGAACCGATGCACCGTACGAGGGAAAATTCGTCGAATGGCAACCAACGTTGTCGACCGACAAAAAAAAAGTGCTCGATTACGCGAGAGCGCGATACTATTTGTCGAATACACGCCGCGTGTTCTTCTCGCGTGCTTTCTTCTCCGAAGATGCACGACGACGACGACGACGACGACGACGATTCTCTGTGTGCCAGCCAAGGAAAATCAAACGCGGCTGATGTCACTGCGTCCGACGAACACGCGCTCTCGGGGCGTCAACGACGACCGTGACGACCACGACGACGACCACGACGACAACGAAGAAAAAGTGACAACGATTCCCTCTCGAGATGCGTATTCGGCCGCGATCGACCACTCACTCACTGTGCGCCAATAATATCGGGCTCTGATCGCTGGCTACGAGTATGAATCGGTTGACGGTTTCGTGGTAGACCGATAACGATGATTAACAACGATCCCGTGATCGGAAGCGAGCACGCACCTGCCTCTTTCTCTTTTTCTCCCTCGTGGCGGAGTCGGTTGGGCACAAAGCCGGGAATCGCCAGGAGACTCGGAGAGAGGGGAGCAGCGGCACGTAGCGGTCTGACGAAACGGATCGTCCGAGCAAACCGAGACCCCTCGGCCAATCGCCGGCCGAGCCTCGCCAATTCGTGCCAAACCGCGCCTCCGATTGGACGCGGCTGCGCCATCTGGCGTTCTCGCTGCGATTCCACCAATGAGAAGTTCGCGCGCGAAAATCACGTTCCCTCTCGGGGAACGCTGCGAGACTCGGAAAACTCGTGCGTTCGCCGATCCGATTTTTTGACGCGATTTTTTGACGCGATTTTTCGCCGCGCGAGTTTACGTAACGACGTTGTTGCACAGTCATGGGGCCGACGGATCGGATTGCTTATCTTTGCCGATACTCGCGCAACCTTTGAGAACGCTTTATCTCTTCCCACTGGCGTGTGACAAACACACAATGGCGTAATCACACATTGCGTTACGATAGTCGAGGATTTTTACCGGAGAGGAGAGAGCAATGAATTTGCTGAAATTCGATGAGTCACACCGTGACACGAATGCGTGATCCTCGCCTCGCGTTCCTTCAATTTTCGACGAGTTCGACGATTAACGCGCCAAGGTCGCAGCTTTATTCCGTTTCACGGTACAAATTACAAGCATGACGCAACTCGTCCTACCACAGGCTCGTCGATCGATTTGGCGTTTCATCGTGAGTTAAACTCAGACTCGTGGAAACGCATCGTCGATAAACCGATTTTCGAGAATCGTGACGCGAATTTACTCGAGAGAGAGAGAGAGAGAGAGAGAGAGAGAGAGATAGCGAAACGTTCGAAACTTCGCACTAGCCGCGCCGTACAAAAATAAAAGACAGACGATCGGCGGTCTATTAATAGAATAGCAGATCTCGCGTGCCAGAAATCGTTCTGTCACGGTACGGAGACACACGTGGCGGTGTGTCTTGGCCACTCTTCCCTCTCGTATTTTCTGCGGTTACCCGCCATTTTGGCACGGGACGATTGGACGATTCGCAGCCAGTGATTATTCCCGAGATGAAAATCGGACAGAAGAGAGATCCCCATCGATGCTTTCAAGTTTCAAACGTTTGCGAGCGTTTAGTCAAATCATTGTTACGTAATCGCGTAATCGGGTAATCATATTTCAAAATTGGTGTGAAACAGTCGTCTTTGTTACCGACGAGCGGGTAAGGTGGGAACACAGAGTGGCCGACCAGTGACCGATCGTCGATCGAACAACAAGTTTGGTCGGTAACGCGCCGTTTTTCAGAGAAAGAGGTCTCTCGATGTCCATTCGAGAGAGAAACCGCTCGCTATCGATGTTGCAAACGAACGATCGCGTTTCTTCATCATCTTCTTCTTCTTCTTCTTCTTCTTAGACTACAATATGGTACGACCTCGATGCAGGCATAGACGAGGTATGTATGCAAGCTAACTGGTACGACGCGGTAACGTGGTCACGCAGTCGCGCGCGTGTCAACAGGAAACGGTTCGGCCCTTGAACGCGTTATTCACTTTGTAAAGTGGAAAATAACGTCCTCCTCGAGCAAGTAACGAAAGACGATGCACACGCGACACCGTAAATGCACCGGAAGCTCGCGGCGGAACTCGAGATTGAAAGTAATGCGTCCGCTTCGCGAAAATTGGCAGGAGCCGGGAGAGGCCGTACGACGAGCCGTCTCGGCCTTCCAGCGCATCGACCTTTCCCTTCCTTTCGTCGAACTTTCCAAACGATTCGTGTCGAGGCGAGACATTTCCACGGGTTTCCGGGTGGCAATCCATCTGGACCGCGTGAAGAATTCGTCGAATTGAACGACCGCGAAACACTTCCACGCTCGAAAACTTTCTACGTAGACATTCTGTTTTCCACCGTGTCGTCCGCTCCAGCAAACTGATAACAAACTGCTACTGCTGTTGTCCAATAGTTTTCCACGATATACGTTTCTCGTTCACTCTCGTAATCGGAAATTGCGTCGATCGATCGGCGAGCAACAAGAGAAACACGACAGCGATACGATAAGGATCGACCGTTTTAGGTTAGGCCACGGGGGGGGGGGGGGCTACTTAGAAAACGGGCAACTGCGAAAGATATATAAAGTAAAGACTGCCTAATCATGCACGTAATTTGGATTTAGTTGAAAAGAAAGTAATTAGAAGAGGAAGCTTTAATGTAACTATAATTAAAACCGAGGGCAAATTGTAAATTGACCATTGCCAAGCGACCAAAAACGCTCGTGCACGGTTAACCACTTGCGCTGGCAACTGATTCGCGGACCATAACGAGTGACCGAGCCGTAAACAACAATTCGTCGCTTTCTTTTTCTTTTCAACTCGTCGGTATGATATCACTGGACAGAAATTATTAAGACGTAATAAAATCTGTTACTCGTTTTGTCTGGGTTATATTTAAATATACTTAAAACTGAGAAAATACTGCAATTTTGGGGCGAAACATTCTCGACGTTAAAGAGGTTAACCATTTGCGCCGATTGCGGACCATAACGAATGACCGTACAACAATTTGTCGCTTTCTTTTTCTTTTGAACTCGACGGTATGAATCACTGGATAGAAACTATTAAGAAGTAAGTAAATTTATCATTTGTTTTACCTGGGTTACATTGAAATATACTTAAAACGTTACTGGATAGTGCTAGCGGCACGATAGTGCTTCTTCGACGCGATTGCGTCAAAAATGTCAAGCGATAAAAGTAAATGAAAACAGCCTATTCATGCACGTGGTTTAGATTTTGACGCGTTGATCGCCGGATCATCCATATCTGGGATGAGTCAAGTCAAGTTTCTATTGAGTGGTGATGCTATTGTTAATTCTTAAAGCAAGGAATATCTAGCAGATGATGGGAGAAATATTTAGTGAAAAACGGAGTACTTTTAATAGTAAATCATTTTTAAACGGAGCAAGTTAAGCTCGACGTCAAGTAACAATGATACAGTGAATTTTTGAATTATTTTGAAGTAGCTGTAACTACGTTATTTACATAAAAATACACAATATCGATAGTAATAGTTATTTGCGATATATTGAAAAAACATTGCGAGATTTAAAGGTATCGTTGTTGATTCTTAAAAATTTCGAATCTACGCTCGAGCGATGCGAAAAAATGTGTAAAAACTTGAACACATGACGTAATAAACTTGACAAAAGGAATAAAGAAACCAGCGAAAAACATAAAAAAAAGAAGCATAAAAAACAGTAGAAAAATGCCCAAGGATTCTGTTGGCATTTTCCGCGAAAAAGAAAAACAACCTGTTCGATTTGCTCTCGACGATCAACGTGTTAATTTGAAAAGAAAATAATTAAGGAGAGACAACTGGTACTGTTCGACACGGAAACAGAGCGATCGCGCGCTGCTGCGTGGCATTGAAGCGGTCAAAGACGGGGGAGATCGGGCCGCGAGTCGTTGGAATTCGCGGCTTTATCGATCGACTTATCGATCGTTTCCGCCTGGTCGCGTGTTTGTTATTGGTCGCTCCGCGAGAAAACGCATACCGGGGCGAGAATTACAGTCGGCGATCACATTCACACAAGAAAGAGAGAAACAAACGTGCGCCTCCTTTGCCTCCGCGACGAAAAAAAATCGAATCGAGATCTCCTCTGTAAACATCGTTTCGCAGAATTTCCAGATCCAGCCTTCGATCGTGTCCAATATATATATTGGAAGCAAGGTCGATTTATCAGTCGGATCCACGTATTTACGGGATGTCACGCCTACGCGCGTGTCACGACCACGTTCCTTCCCAAGTGGCTAATCGAAAGGAACGAGTTACGATGCTGCTCGCGGTTGCGATGCTGCTCGCTCGTTCGTTTCAATTGTTTTTTACGTGGAGAGGAAAGTGGTGACTCTTTACCACGAAATATACATAGACGATGGATCTAATTGAGAGACGAGGCGCGATAATTGGCGAGCCTTCGATGGTGGATACGTTCGCGTGTAAGAGGCCAGGCGTGGTTTCGCTTTCGGAGAGAAAATCGACGACGACCTGGCCTGGGGGAACCTTGGGAAAGGGGACGGAAAAGTAGGCCGCGTGTGTCTCTCGAGGAGAGAAGACGAACGGGATCTGCGCCACGGATCGATCGCAGGGTTGACCTTGCGTACGGTTGGAGGCGTCGGATCTACAACAATCGGCCGTACGATCGGCCGTAAAACCGTAATCGCGGCTTTGTAACAGCACGTGGAACGCGCGTGCATTCCTTTTCCAACGAAGGAAAATTATTTCGAGCGACACAAGGTGTGTTCGCATCGGTTCACTTCACCTTACCGCGAACTAACGGCGCGAGACAGCGACGACCTCGTGTCAAAATAAGCTTTGATTTCTACGATTTCTCAGCGCGTGCAAATCGATTTTTTTTTCGGTGGATCGTCTACGTAGCTTAGATGGATTTTCAACTGAGAGAAAGAGGACAACATTTGTTTTACGCAAATACTAATAGTTTCTCGTTACGTAAAGAGAAACAGCGATCGCTGGAGTTTCACGTTCGAGAAAAATGAAAGCAAGAGCAAGCTCACCGGACGGCAAGGGCGTTTGGCTCTCGAACACCTCGGCGGGCCTCTTGGTCTCGGACTTGGCCGAGTCGCCGTGAACACCGTTCGTCGACATGCTATCGCTGCCAACCGACAACAAGCTGAACGTCCAGAGCGACGGATGGATCGGACGTGGATGTGTCGCCGAGGTGATGTTCCGTCGCCGACCAGCAAGCGGAGCCGATTGCCAAACAACAAACGCGCGCGGCCCGTGTTTCTACTCGCAGCTACTGTTGCCGATGCCGCCGAACTCGCGAACACTTAGCCGCGAACACCTAGCGAACGTCGGCCAATTAGAACACGCGACGCGCGCCCCACCGGTTGGCTTCGGCCACCGCCTTCCCCACGCGCCGATATATCGAATATATATTCTCTCTCGAATCGAACACTATTCTACACCCAGTCCAAATCCTCTTCTTCCTCTTCCTTCCCCTTCAGCAGATTCGCCAGCAATTTTTCCGCCTTCTCCCACCTCCTTGTGAACGTCACGACAACAACCTTGGTTCCTTCGTTCGCACCTGCGACAAAACGCGCGGCTGTTTGGCCCGAGTTTGATCGACGACGGAACGATCGTGCTCGGTTTCGATGTGAAATAGAATCGGACTGGGACAGGAGGGGGGGGGGGGGGGAGGAGGAGGGCGACGAATCCGGCCCAGTTACGCGTCATCGAGCCACGGACTCTACGATTTATTCCGAGCACGAACGTCTCTCTCGCTTAACGAGACCTCGACGCTGATGGGAATATCAACGATTCCGGTGGCGTGCGCGGTTGTTCTCGTTCGCCTCGACCTCGCCGTCGACGACTCGAGATGATGACCCGCGATGGATTAGGTGGCACGTTGAACGTTTTTCGACTCGACTCGACTCGACTCGACTCGGTTTCATTCGCCTTGGATTTTCATTCGCGTGGCCGGCGAAGAAGGAAGAACCTCCGTTCGTTAAAACAAACGCGGCTTTCCCGCGAATCCTGACGTAATCGTCGCGATAGCACGCTCACGCGTGAAGAGGATCGCGCGGCTTACATACATACGTCGAACGTGGAACGTAGAGCTTACGGGGTTATGAGATTAGAGAGCGTGTAATCCACCTCCCAGTCACCACGGCTCGTTCGTAGACTCGGCGCGCACGTGTTCATCACTATCTCGTCACGCGACGCGCCGATGAGAACAACGATACGCGCATAGTCGGATTTCTCACCTCCGCCGGAGCCTCGACTCGCAATCAGCACAGGTTTTTGCCAGATGTGTAACAACCTTTCTTCCATTCTTGTGTCGCGTCAGTCCTTTGTCGTCGTTTCCACATGTAGGAGAATAATTGTACAACTTCCGCCTGAACCGAGAATCCTAAAAAAAAAAAAAAAAAACAAAGGAAATTTGTCATTTGTTTGCGTTAATGGGTCAATTTTACACAATTTTTAGGAAGTATAATTTTGTAATTTGTCGTTTGTTTACGTTAATGAGTCTTGTTTGTGTTGGGAAATATAATTTTATAATTTGTCATTTGTGTATAGTATTTTATATTGTCTTTTATTTATCATTATTTAGTGAGTCTTGTTTATATTAGGAAATACAATTTTAGAATTTTGTTTAATTAATGTTAGGAAATATAATTTCATAATTTGTCATTCGTGTACAATATTTTATATTGTCCTTTATTTATCATTAATGAGTCTTGTTTCTATTGGGAAATATAATTTTAGAATTTGTTACATTTATATTAGGAAATATAATTTTCTATTAGGAAATATAATTTTCTATTAGGAAATATAATTTTAGAATTTGTTATATTTGTTACATTTATATCTTAATCTTGTTTCTATTAGGAAATATAATTTTAGAATTTATTACATTTATATTAGAAAATATAATTTTAAAATTTGTCTCATTTATATTAGGAAACATGATTTTATAATTTGTCGTTTGTTTATGTCAATGGGTCTTCTTTATATTAGGAAGTACAACTTTACAATTCTGTTTAATTTATATTAGGAATTATAATTTTATAATTTGTCGTTTATTTATATTAATGGGTCTTCTTTAAATTAGAAAGTACAATTTTACAATTTTGTTTAATTTATATTAGGAATCATAATTTTATAATTTGTCATTCATGTACAATATTTTATATTGTCATTTATTTATTATTACTTAATGAGTCTTGTTTCTATCAGGAAATATAATTTTAGAATTCGTTTCATTTATATTAGGAAACATAATTTTATAATTTGTCGTTTGTTAATGGGTCTACTTTAAATTAGAAAGTACAATTTTACAATTTTGTTTAATTTATATTAGGAAACATAATTTTATAATTTGTCATTCGTGTACAATATTTTATATTGTCATTTTTTTATCATTACTTAATGAGTCTTGTTTCTATCAGGAAATATAATTTTAGAATTCGTTTCATTTATATTAGGAAACATAATTTTATAATTTGTCGTTTGTTAATGGGTCTATTTTATATTAGAAAGTACAATTTTACAATTTTGTTTAATTTATATTAGGAAGTATAATTTTATAATTTGTCATTACAATGTACAATATTTTATATTGTCCTTTATTTATCATTACTTAATGAGTCTTGTTTCTATTAGGAGATACAATTTTAGAATTTGTTTCATTTATATTAGGAATTATAATTTTATGATTTGTCGTTTATTTATATTAATGGGTCTTTTTTAAATTAGAAAGTACAATTTTACAATTTTGTTTAATTTATATTAGGAAACATAATTTTATAATTTGTCATTCGTGTACAATATTTTATATTGTCATTTTTTTATCATTACTTAATGAGTCTTGTTTCTATCAGGAAATATAATTTTAGAATTCGTTACATTTATATTAGGAAACACAAATTTATAATTTGTTTATGTTAATGGGTCTTCTTTATATTAGCAAATATAATTTCACAACTGTTTAATAAAAAGCAACGTCTCTCAAGCGTCACTGCGATTTCCGATTCTGATAAACTTGTTTCTTCTCGTAAGTACGAAGAGATTATCACTCGTTCGAGTCATACGTTGTTACACGCTCTTGAATTCCACTATAATCAAAGCTTTTTAGTTTAATACATTCAATATACTTTGACCATTTCTTATACTTTGGAACTTGTGATAAAATAGTTAATCAAATCCTCACTTGCATTTGTTCTCAATGACTTTCTGGTACGATGTTCTTCCAACGTAGTTCCTTAAAGTATTTCTTTGTGTCTGGCTTTTGAAATTTCCTCCGAATGTTTAAGCTGCTGCCGTGGAATTTAGTGCTTGGTTGCAACGACTTTGGCTATTTTTTTTTTCATTTTGGCCATAGCTGGGCAAACAAAATTGACGTTAACGTAAAATTCAGTTTATCCAGAATTGGTAATCTTTTAAAAACTCGTTTCGAAATCGATGAAAGTTAGACACGATGGTTGAATAAATTTGGTGTTACTGCGTTGAAAATTTTCGGTAATTTTAATGATAATTACACTCTTAAACTCGTCTCGTAGAGATAAAAGTAAAGAAGCAAATGTCACTCTTGCGAAAAAGGAAGTTTCAAAACAGAGCATCGATTCTTACATTTAAAACTGTAATAATAATTATTATTATTATATTATTATATTATTTACACTTATATTGTTAAATAATTTTAATTTTAATAAAAGCTGTAGGCAACGTTATAGCTGTAGGTACGAAACTACGCTGCGAAAAAAACAAAGAACGTATCAATTTTTATACTTAATTTTTCACGCTTCAATTTATCGATTAACGATAAAACGATATATATTTTATAAAAATCACAGGTAACGTTACAAACTACCTTGCGAAGAGGAATGTATCAATTTTTACACTTCACTTTACGCGCTTCAGTTTATCGATTAACGATAAATCGACGTATATTGTACGTTATTGTACGTGTAACTTATTAAAAACCACGTTGTAAAAAAAACCGTATAAACAATTTTTCGTGCTTCAATTTCAACTATGAACACTTCGGGAGCTGATTGTACGCCTAAAAATAATGAAAAAGAGTCATATAAATATATGTCCTGTCTGTCTTCGTTTACGAGATACAATGGATTTTCTGTTTTAATTACTGTTACAAAAGTTGCTCGAAACGATCACCTTGCACGCGTCTTGTCATTCATTTGGTTACTCTCTCTATCGTTCCTGGTGTTTCTCGAATTTGTCGGGAAGCCTTGCTCTATTCTATTTCGTGGTATTTCAGCATGTTCAATCGACGTTGCGTACACGATAGATTTTAAATGTCCCCGCGAGTGAAAATCTAATGGATTCAAATCCGGAGAACGAGCAAGGCCATGCAACAGGACCTCCACGACCGATCCATTTATTTGCAAAGTGTCGATTTAAAAATTGCCTGGCCACTCGGCTAAAATTCGGCGGAGCTCCATCGTGCATAAACCGCGTCTACAAAGTCTAACATCGACTGGAACTTACTCTGACATTTCGTGCAAACGCGTGCTTGTAAACAATCAACGTACTTTGTGCCCGTTAGTTTCCCATCAAGAGAAGAAAGATCCAATTAAAAATTTATCAATTATCCCTGCCCGCACGTTTAAACGAAACTGGCGTTGATGTCTTGAATGCACAACAACATCCCAATTATGATTATTATGAAAATTGAATATACCTGGTAAAAGTAGCTTAGTAGAGTTTGCTCTGTTTATAAAATTCATTACATCTCATAAACGAAGACAGACACAGGGGACGTACATTTATATGGCCTTTTTTCATTATTTTTAGACGTACAATCAGCTACCCTGTAATATATCTTACAAAAGTAACAAGAGTTGTAAAATTGTAAAATACATTGTACTTTGAATATCTCACATTGCGCGTTCTACGATCTGCCTCCGCGAATCGATGTAATGCCGACAGCTATCGTGTCGCATGCTCGCGGCCAAATCTCAACCGACGTATCGACGTATCGATCGGAGAGGCTGTCGGAAGCGTCGCGACGTTTTGCATCAATTACCGGTTAAGGTAAACGCTCGCCCCGAGACGAGAAATTACAGCGTCGATAATCTTACTGTCTCTCCGAGACAGAAATTACTGTGCCCCGTTATTTCGAGTATTTCCAGTCGCTTTGAATATTTCATCGAGGTTCGTGCAACGTCTCCAAACGCAGGAGGTTCTGTTACCGATTGCAAGCTTCGACGACGACTTCGCCATGCTTCTGTTTGTTCGCATTCTCTGCCTCCTCGCCGTTTTAGCGGACGTGCTCGCGTACGACTCGTCGTTCGTCCAGCTGATCGACGACGCCGTCACTATACTGTTTCCGCCGGTCAGAGTGTCGGCGTATCTCTGTCGCTTGGACCAAGGTGAGAAGATCGCAGCTCGTTTCGCTTATTTGAAAATCAAAGAGAGAATCAAAAGCGACGGATCCGCAGACGAGACGATCCGGCTCTCCAGAGTGATGTCGAGGAGCGGCCTCGCTCACGAGATACGCGCCGAGCTCGAGGGACTCGAAGTACGAACGGACCGCGACCTCTGGGATCATCGAGTGTTGTACGTGCTGGATCTGGACTGCGACTACGCGGTTCCACTTTTACGAGCGGTACGTGTGACGTACGGCGTGTCCATGAAGTCTCTTTTCACAATTTCAAAAATTCATCACAAGGGCAAACGAGAAGGCAGACAAGTGGAAATTGTTGCAAAATGAGACGTGTATATCTAAGTTTTTTTTTTTCTGCCTCATTTAATACACCTTTGTATGGGCGGCATTAGTTGCACGAAGCACACGTTAAGACGGTACTCGATTTCCTGACATGTCCCTCTGCTTTAGATCAGTGTTGTTCGACACACGATAATAAAGTCCTTTTACAATTTCAAAAATTTATTACAGAGGCAATCGATGAGATATCTTTCGTCAGATTTGTTCCATGTACTCGGTGGTTATCAAGGTTTTTATCACGTTGCATTTCACGTAGTCTTGAGTTGATGAATAAGATACAGTTAAATGTTAACCCCTTACGAAATGGGTTCCTGCTCCTGAAGAGAAGGCACAGTGTGAATCATGGTTTGTTGAAACACCAAATCGAATCTACAGACTCGGCGAAACTTCAGAACTAAGTATGGAAGAGATCCATCAATTCGTGCATGGCACAAGAAATTTATAGAGGCAGACAGGGACAGTGTTTGATAAAACATCTTGACGTGTTTCGTGGAACTAATGGTGTCCATATAGAGGTGTATTAAATAAAGCAGAAAGAAATTTAAATACAGTGGGGATGCAACATTGAGTCAATAACAAAAATTTTTAAGAAAAGTATTTCTCATTGTCAAATAAAGTATAAAAACGTGAAAATAAACTTGACTATCTGATTCTTTATAGGTTTAGAAAACTGAAGCTATTTCTTTGACTTTTAAGATTAGGTTTCTTCCTGGCTGAAAAAATTAAAAAAAAAAATAGAATCAATTTTGCACCAGAATTCTTTCATAGTTCAGATTTACTAGCTTTATCATACCTTAATGTTTCATTCATAAGCCAATTTGCTTAGATAATAGCTCTAATATGTCTTGGCATACTTTCAAACAGTCTTGAGCAGAAATCAGATGGCATTTGATTCTACTGTTTTATAACGCGAGCATATAATTTCAGTATTTCTACAGGTCTAGAATTTTTATTTCAATATATCCCATAGATTCTCGATGGGGGTTTTGGTTGGGCCAATCTAAGATTGGAAATGCCTGAGTAGTCAGCTAATTAGTTACGCTTTTTTGCTAATAAAAACTCCCATCGAGAATCTATATATTGAAATGAAAATTCTAAACGCATACAAATCTCTTCCTAGCTCAGTACTAAAACTACATGCTCGTGTTGTAGAACAGTGGAATCAAATGCCACCTGATTTCTGCTCAAGACTGTTTGAAAGTGTGCCAAGACGTATTAGAGCTATTATCTAAGCAAATGGACGAAATATTATCTAAGCTTATGGATGAGATATTAAGATATGATAAAGCTTGTAAATCTAAGCAATGAAGAAATTCTGGTGCAAAATTGATTTTATGTTCTTTTAATTTCTTCAACCAGGAAGAAATCTAATCTTAAAAGTTAAAAAAAAAACTTAGCTTCAGTTTCCTAATACTATAAAGAATCAAGATAGTCAAGTTTATCTTCATGTTTTTACAATAAGAAATATTTTTTTTTTTTTTCAAATTTTCGTATTTTTACTCAATTTTGCATTCCACGTCTCATTTGGTAATAATTTTCACTCGTCTGTCTTTTCGCTTGCCTTTCTAATAAATTTTTGAAATTGCAAAGAGACTTCATGGACACCCTGTCGTATCACGTATATAACTTATATACGTGATATATATCGTCGACGACCTGATTCGCAGGCAAACGCGAGCGGCATGTTCTCCGCGCCGACCAGATGGCTGCTGCTTCGAGATGGAACGATCGGTGAAAACGTCACCGACGACGAGAACGTTACCGTGGAGCAAACGTTCCGGGACATGGCCGTGTATCCCGACAGCGAGGTGACGGTGGCCACCGAGGTCAGGCCCGAGGTCGAGGATGGCTCGATCGCCTGGCAGATGACCTCTGTCTACAGACCTAGCCCGTTTCGCGAGCTTCTGACGGAGAACCGTGGAACCTGGACGGCCGATCGTGGCGTTCGCGCGATCGATCTTCGCCCGACGTCGCGACGACGGAGAGATCTTCGACGAACGACCTTGAAATCCTGCCTCGTGGTATTCCGCGCAATCTCGTCGATCACGCTCCGAGAATTATCGTTCACCGCCGGTGGATTTGCGAGAAAACAAACAAAGGGAACGGGCGGCGGGGAGAGTGCGCGAGAGTGGATTTCGTCTCGGATTAAAACGGGAGGCGATAAGTGGAAGCCGCGAGCTCGCGTTGTTAATTATTGCCGCTCGTCCGCCGGCGGAACGTGGGGGAGGAGGGGGCGATCGCCAATAATCGCAGTAACAACGATATAATAAATTAACCTCGCATTTGCCTTTCCGCAGATGACCGATCCCGATACGATCAACCACTTAACCGATTACGAGAATAAGCACATAGATCCAGTTACGAAGGCCAACTATCCATGGGTGATGCACATAGCGAACCGAATGAACGCAACGTGAGTCCCACCTGTTCTTGCCCTCCCCAGCATCCAGCCAGTTTCTTCTTTCTCCTCTCTTCTCTTGTCGTTTCTTTTTCCTTTTTTTTTTTTTTTTCGTCTCATTTCAAATTCCGCGCACGGCTGTGTTCTGTTACGCGTGTCCCCGTGGAATCTAGGCGAATAATGGTATTCATATGTATAATCTACAAGTATAATAGGTGTACGCACGGGGTGTCCATGAAGTCTCTTTCCAATTTTCAAAAATTGTACACGTAACGAATCTGACGAAAAAAAAAAAAAAAAAAAGAAGAGAGAACTTAAATATACACGTCTCATTTTGTAACAATTTTCACTCGTCTGTCTTTTCATTTGCCTTTGTGATAAATTTTTGAAATTGCAAAGAGACTTTATAGACACCGTGTGTACGTACAGGCTCGTGAATTTATCGTCCAGTGTTTTTTTTTTTCTCGTAAACAACAGAAAAATGAAAGAGGACAAAGTTGTATGCAATTCGTCTTCTTCAGAATTGACCTTTACACTTGCAGAAGCTCAGAAAAAAAAAAATGTTTCGGATACTAATGTACCTGTCGGTGTTTCTTATCGAGATTTGTATTGTCGCTTGCTGTTAGAGCGTGCAAAACAGACAAAACTATTTGTGAAGGCCAACGGTAATAGCACTATTTCTTACGTGCACGTGATTCCACGTCCAATACGGATATGTCGTATTTTACACTTTTACTGGTTTTATGCTCCGATTAGGTCTGTATTATTACCCAGTTACAAGCGTACAAAATGTACAAACCTACTTGTCAACTAGGTAACACTGCTACAACATATTTATGACATGGACGTGCTCGAGATTAGAAATTTTTACACATTTTTTGCATATCTCAGTTATAGATCATTATCTATGATCGTAAATCTCATGCCAGTCAGTTTAGAATGCGAGGAGCAATTTTTAAGGCACAAATTCATTAATTCAATTGATTCAACTCATTTAATGTAACAAATATGTATCAATCATAAATGCAAATAGCAGAAGCCACCAAAAGTGTATTGCATAAAAAACACAAAAGTGTATTGCAGTGAATAGAGGTCTGAATTGAACTGTAAATCTCAATAAAGAGCACGTCGATATTCAATATACATATTTCGTTTCTGATCTTGTGTAAGTGTGACATGATATTGAAAAGAAGACATGATAAATATTATAATATTATAAAATATAATTATATATAATTGTATATAATTATATATAAATATAAAATATGATACAATAAATTATAATATAATATATATAGAATATATTACAATACATATATCTGTTTAAAAAATTAAAAGTCGCTTTCAACTCTCAAAAAAAAAAAAACAATACCACTGGGAAACAAATTTTACGCGCCGTTACACGACGTATGAAAAACAGTACAACATTGTCCTCTTACGAGCAAAACCTCTGGACGGTAATCGAGTAAATAATTTTGTCCGACAGCCACCCCAGATATAAACATAGAATAAAAAAAAAAAAAAATGAACGCGTCGAAGAAGCATCGGGACAAGAGACGATATTACTCGACTCGTGTCAATGAAATCCGTTTCTCTTGCCGCCTCGTTCTAGCATCGAGTTTCGCGTGACGGACAGCTGGGGATACCGGGACAAGAACGGGACGTGGAACGGCATGACGGGAATGTTGCAACGTCGTGAGATCGACATAGGTGGCACCGCGACCTTCTTTATTCCGCAGCGTATCGGGGTGGTCGATTACATACAACTTTACACGCGCACCAAGTAAGCCGGCAAAGTCAATAAAAACGTTAGGGCGAAACGCTGGAACACGGTCGAATCTGCCGCAGTGCGCACTTCATCTTCCGTCAACCGCTGCTGTCGAGCATCAGCAACATCTTCGTGCTGCCGTTTCAACGGTCCGTCTGGATAGCGATCGGCGTGTTTCTCCTGCTGGTGCTCGCGTTGCTCTCCGTCTCGGCCAAGTGGGAGTACCGTCGTGGCATGTCGGCCAACAACGCCGAGTACTGGCAGCAGTTCCATCAGAGCGAGCTAACGCTCGGCGATAGCTTCATGGTGGTGCTGGGAGCTATCGCGCAACAGGGTGAGCGAGAAAATTCGAATCGGGTCTTGGTGCTGGAGCGGTGAATCGAGTCGTGCGATGGATTTCGCAGGATACTCTTACGAGCCGTATCGCGTTCCCCCCCGAATCGTCACTCTGATGCTGCTGATCGCTGCTCTCAACTTGTACGCTTCTTACACGGCCAACATCGTCGCTCTGCTCCAATCGACCACCGACTCCATCAAAACTCCCGCCGACCTGTTACACAGTCCGTTGAAATTGGGGGTTCAAGACGTGGTCTACAGTCGGCATTACTTCAAGGTACTAAGGCGAACGTACTTACTTGATTACTTGCTAACATACGTCACACATACACCATGACTCGCTAACGATGCCAGCTAGACTTCGTCTCGTTCGCAGACGTTTCAGGATCCGGTACGAAGAGCGTTGGTGGATCAAAAGATCGAGCCAAAGGGTCATAATGGCTCGTGGATGACGGTGCAGGAGGGAGTTCGTCGCGTCAGAAACGGGCTGTTTGCGTTCCACGCGGAGCTGGGCGCCTTCTACAAGATAGTGCAGGAGACGTATCTGGAGGAAGAGAAGTGCGGGATCATGGAGATCGACGTGCTGAACATGCTGTATCCGCTTCTGGTGATGCAAACTCGGTCGCCGTACTTGGAGATCGTGAAGAACGCGTAAGGCGGCGGCGAACTGGAGCGACGAGACGAGAGCAGTTCACGATGAAGCAGGATCGTTTTCAGGGCTTTGGTGGTGAGCGAGACCGGTCTGCAAACTCGCGAGGACAGCCGACTGTACACGAAGAAGCCCAAGTGCCACGGAAGTACGAGCTTCGTCAGGATAGGTATCACCGAGTGCTACTTTGCGTTGGTCGCCGTGGGTTACGGGACGCTTCTGAGTCTCGTCGTGCTGGCGGCGGAGTTTCTCTGGTGCCGAGTCGAAGGCTCGATCGACCGATGGTTGACCAACGACGACGCAGTGCCACGCAGCCAAGTCGATCCGTTCGAACTAGTCGACCAAGAGATTCGCGAGTTCGAGAACGGATCGGCCTAGTACAACCGAATGTTTCCAAAACGCGTTAAGCGCTCAGCGGTAGAAAGTGTTGATAGTAATTTTTGGTGAATTCCAGCATGAGGTCGAGCGTGCACTCGGGTAGATCTTCGACGCACTTGGCAGGATTGCCGGCGAAACGTGTGAACGAGGGGATCACCGTCTCCGGCGGTACAACCGCCCCGTCCTCGATGTAGCAGCAGTCCTTCAGCACGCACCTCCTTCCCTACGGTAGTTGCAAACGAGCACAGTTTTTACTTGTCTACTAGCAGCGGGTCGCTCGCGCGACTCGGTGTTAATAAAGCCTGCAAAGAGCGTACGTACGATCACAGCATCTTTTCCTATGTATATGTAAGAGCCGACGATCGCCGCGTTGATCACCGCCCGTTCCCCGACAAACACATGGTCTCCCATCGTCAGAGGAAAGAAGGCAACGCTGAATAAAAGCAACGACAAACAGTTATTGGTCGAACTTTGTTTCCTTCTGGTCAAAATTATCCAACTTCTTAGCTGTCGCGAGATTTCTCGCCAAGAGACTGTACTTCTGTACTTGCTTAACGTTTTGCAAACTGCAAAACTCATGTGAAATTCATATCCAGCATAGTGCTTCACACTGTGCGACTATGTTGGAATAACCTTTGAATTAAAATTAAAATTTTCAAATTGGAGAAGGGAATGAATTAACATGTTGAAATGAAATGAATTTGGTCAGTTAATCAAATTTCGAACGTCACAACCAATTAGATAATATCGTGAAACAGAGTCACTATTCAACGATTGCAAATTTTAATTGAAACATTACATACATAGAAATTAAGTATGGTGTATTCTATTGAAACATCTGAAGTGTAAATGAGACTAAATCTTGTGGCTTCCTGAGAGCATCATACAAATCTGGCTTAGAAGCTGAATGTGTTGAAGTTTGTTTTATAAAGAATTTAAAGAATCGACTAAGAAACAAGCAAGTTACTACAAGTTTTGAAATTGAAAGAACAAACAAGTACAAGTCTTTCACAAAAGGAATTAGCAAACCCATAACAACGAGGTGTACAGTTCTCTTGGACTAAATGAACCACTGTGGCTGTGCAATGGCTAAGAAGTTAAGGAATCGCCAATTGTTACTAACCCTCGGCTAAACTTTTTAAACGGTGGCCGTATGATGGCGTTCTTACTGATGATGCAGTAACGTCCAGTCCGAACGTTTGCGAGATCGCCCCTGATAATCGCGTCCGACTGCACGATCACTTTCCCGTGTAACACAATGTTCTGCGAGCCGCAGAGAACCGTGTGCCTGCTCACCTTGTTTCCGCTAGCCTAAAACGTCAAAATTACAACGTACGAAAAAGAAAGAGGTTATGTCGTACATGTAACTCTTTCATCAGTACTATCATCAGAGATTTTCGAGTTCCGCGTTCCCTACCGTTTCCACGTATTCCGCTTTGCTGTAGTAGACGTCTTGGGGCTCCATGTTGTCTCGATTCTGCTGGTGTTTGAACGTTTCGAGAAGAAGGTAACGACGAAACTGCTGAACTGGAGACAAGTCGCGACAGACGCGAGCGCCATTTGTATGGCGGCGCGCGCATTTTTAAAACGATCTTAAACGAGCGGCAACGTTGATTACAAAAAAAGAAAGAAGAAAATGAAATATTATAGTTTCAGTTGTTAACTGATAGTTAAATGGTAGTTTTTGTGGTTTCTTATTAATTCTCGTAATATATTTATTAGGAGTAAACCTGCATATTCCCGTCATCTGCCGACCGTACGAATCACCGACGGAGCCGTGGCGGGAAATTTGATTCTAGCGAGCTACGAGAAACTTTCGAGAACCAAAAAAAAAAGAAAGAAAGAAAGAAAGAAAGAAAGAAAAAAAAAAACTATCGGATGGATAATAGGGATCGTTGTCGCTGTCGCGTCGTCGATCGATCTAAATTATAGTAAATACGTAAGTAAGCACAGTCTACAGTGGAGAGCGATGTTTTGAAACAACGGTTCCATGGCAACGTCGACGAAGGACGCGAAAAGGTAGTTTTTAGTCGGTGGTAGATCGCATCGCGTTTGGAACGATGTCGTTGTTCAAGACGAAAGAATGGTGGCGAACGAGGTGCGGGGCGAACGAAACGTTCGACAGGCACAGCTTGCTGGCAGCGCCGTTGTTTGGAAAGGAGAGGCACGACATCCTGGTGGTGGGAAGCCACGATGGTTACCTGAGAATGTACAAGCCGTCGTCGCAATGGGTGGACGAGACAAAGTCGCCGACCAACTACAAGTCGACGGACCTGATGATCGAGACTCGCTTGGACGATTGTATCGTGGACTTGAAGACGGGCAGGTTTGTCTCGTGAGTAGTAGCGTCGACGGTGGAAAATGGAACCAGTCGAAAAAGAGACTGATAGTTGATCGGTTGGATCGTTTGCAGAGGCTCGCAAGATTTACGGCTGGCGGTGTTGACGGCCTCCAAGTTGATGGTGTTTGACGTGGCTCTGGTCGAGGAATCCAACGAATACGGCTTGCCTCTGGGTACTACTCGCTTCGATCTCTGTCTTTCGCAATCGGCTCGCGGGAACGCGTCGCGAGAGATTGCGCGGGCAAACGTTGGTCGAGGCAGCTTTCACGAGAAAGGCGAAAGAAACGCCTCCGGGTGAATTGGCAAGCGTGACCAAACGTTCGTCGCGCGATCCGTTCTCTGTTACACTCCGAGCGTGTAACAGTTCAGGGGGGATGAAGCGACGATGAACGAATGGCATTTATGATCGACAGGGGATCGTTGCGAGCTGAAGATCGCCTACGAGCACCGGCTGTCGAGATTCCCAGCCTCGTTGACGGTGGGACCGTTCGGCGGCGTTCGAGGCAGGGACTTTCTGTGCGTTCAGTGCCTGGACGGGACGCTTCTGTTCTACGAGCAAGAGGTGTTTGCGTTCGTCCAAGCGACGAGGAATCGATTGCTGGCCGAGCCGATCGTGTACGTCCCGCGATACGATCTGTTCGTCGCCGCCAGCTCCTCCTGGTGTCTCGAGTGTCACAGGCACGTGCTGGCGACCGTGTGACCGACGAGTCGAGCGTAACGCGACTCACAGTAACCGGAGTAAGTAAACGACCAAGTAACCAAGATGCTAAAGTGGCGTGTTGTCGTTGCGCGTAGGTACCAAAGCATGGCCGAGTGGTCGAGAAACAAGAAGGAACGGATCTCCGAAACCGAAATCGCGATCGACGCGAACAACGCCAACAATCTCGAGCCAGATTCGACGTATAACGTCGGTGAAGCGGTTCTCGGTATCCAGGTTGTCACTCTGAGTAGCTTCGAGGTCGGGATCGTGGTTCTTGGCGAGAGACACCTCTACTGCCTGAGGGACAATTGCGCGTCGGTCAAGTATGCCAAGAGGCTCGAGTACAAGCCTCTCTGTTTTCGAGCTTATGTTATCGGTAATTATTGGAAGGTTTAAGCTCTTGCGCTGGAATGACGTGCCACACACGTCGAGAATTTTTTGTCCCAAAATTGCAATATTTTCTCAGTTTTAAGTATATTTGAAACAAGTAATAAATTTATTACTTCTCAATAATTTCTATCCATCTCACAGTGATATCACACCGATATCATACCGATGAGTTTAAAAAGAAAGCGACGATTTATTGTGTACGGTTTGGTCACTCGTTATGGTCCGCAATCAGTTACCAGCACAAGTGGTTAATTTCTTACGTTGAGAATTTTTTGTCCCAAAATTGCAATATTTTGTCAGTTTTAAGTATATTTGAAACAA